GGTGGTGGTGATGGTGGTGATGATGATGGTGGTGATGGTGGTGATGATGATGGTGGTGATGGTGGTGGTGAAGATGTGTATTCACTATGTCCTGTAGCGATCCCAAAACTCTAAAAGCCTGAGTCGGAAGCCAAGGTAAGGGCAGGGCCACATCCACTTGGAGGCTCCAGGGAAAGCCCACTGGGGAGGCCTTCTGGTGATCCAGGTGTCCTTGACTTGCCCTGTGTTGCTCCTTACAAGGATGCACACCATGCACACCATTGGGTTGGGGTGTACCTAGAGGACCCAGATGAAGACTCCAGTTCCAAATGAGACCATATTCTGTGTATGTTGGGGGGAGGTAAACATGGGGGGACATGGTTCAGCTCAGGATGTGGGTAGCTCGGGAGCACTTGTAGGGGTGGGAACAGACCATGGGTTCCCACAGCTAGAGAGCAAAAGGGCCGGCACCATCAGGCAGTCTTTTCCCTCTGGTGGGGATGTGCGGTCCCAGGTCCCCCAAATGTAAGGCCAAGTGTGGCTGTGAGGCATCTGGGGAGCATTTCAGACTTTTCTTTACCCTTGGAACAAAATGCGTTTGTTTGTATTACGGTTTGAGTAGAGGAAAAGCAGTTTTAGCAAACACCAGCTCCTCTGTTTAGTGCCCGGGGGTCTCTGAAAACAGGCGGCTGCTGGGCTCTGTTTACTCCAAGTAGCTAAATGGAGAACTTCGAGTGAACAGGCTGGAGCCCCACCCTGCATTTCAGCCCCTTTTAAAACCCAGTCTGAGGCTTCATTCCTCACCTGGAGGCTCCGGAAAGTTCCCACCGCTCAGGCTGGACTGTTTCCTGCAGAGTCAGGCCTGGGGTGGGGAGGTCTCCCAGATGCAGGCCAGGTGGAACTGTCCCTGGGAGGCATCACTTTCAGGACTACTGACTCTGGAGCAGTGAGGGGCCATGCACGGTGGACAGCACTCAGCCCGTGGTTCTTCAGGGCGGGGTCTGCGGGTATCGCACAGCAAGGGCTGAGGCCCTGCCGGGACCCTCACCAGTCAGCCCTCCCTGGAGGGGGCCTTAAGAGCCGGGCATTATGGGATGAGCAGGAGTCTGCAAAACATGTCCATCTTCCTGTAGTTGCTGTCCATTGGCCAGCGCCTAGGAGATTGATTTCATGGACTCAGCAGGTCTGATGAAGGTGGTGAACAGGGGCTTTAGTTCATGCTCCTGACGGGGACTCCTTGCAGGTTTCAGGTTATATAGCGTTCTAGCTGGAAGAGACAGAGACAGCATCAGGAAACTCAGAGAGTCTGGAATGGACCTCCTGCTCCAGAGGGTGATTCAGAAGTAGGGGCAAGGTACTCCTAGTACTGGCTTCTCTGGATGAAAGGTGGGCACTCTCTGTCCCATGTTCCTCGAGGTGGAACCCTGCTCAGGGAAGATGAGGAGGACCACGAGCCATGCATGGCCCACTGCACACCCCGCAGAGGCTGTCACGGGGCAGCAGTCTGTGATGAACCCAAGTGTATGTGATCCATATGACCTATGGGTACCTGGACTTCAACGAGGTCCCTCTCTTTGTTGGTTCAGGAGACTTGCAGATCTGACTTCCCAGTGGCCTTTAGGGACGGGCTCTAAAAAGTGGCCCATTTCTGAGTTGATGTATCTTTGACTTCAAGAAAAACAAACGCCCTGACAGGGATGGGCCACTTAGAAACAAGAA